AAACCTTTTCTCTCTACATATCTAACCTTGTTTTCATCACCATGTACATGGGAGAGGCAGGGATGACCAATGTTTGTGGCTGAGCATTTACAACTCAGTAATGGATGGTAAGGAGAGAGATGAAGGCTGAAAATTAATCAGGATAGTTTGTGACCAAACCTGTAGCGGTACAGATGAGATCCCCTACAACAGGGCAAAGGAGGAATAACCTTTAAGACCCCGATGACGACTGCCTTTTGCAGAAACCCCTGGCAGCATTCCAAATGTGCAGTTGGTGCTTCCATGAGCACGCAGGCTGAACATGGTGGTTGCGTGTGCCCCTACCATAGCCTATGCCCCGTCTAGGCACAGTGACACACTGATGAGAATGGAAAATGAAAATACTTTTTACAGCAAGGGTTTTCTGCGCCAGGGTGCATTCGAATATGCTCTAGAAACAAGGCTTTTCATATTCACATGAGAGACATAGTGAAGAAGACCCTTATGTGAAAGGGCAGCATACTGGAAGCCGGACCCTGGCGAGGAAAACCACACCAAACCACCAACACACGGTGTGTGCGTATTGCTTATTTAATTGGAACCATTCAGACGCCCACAAGTGTGAGAGGCTGCTGGACTTGGAGATGCGCAGCGGCATTTGGGGTCCTCCTGTGGGGGAAGGAACAACCGAGGGCTTGGAGGCTGAGTCCTTGGCGTGCCTTCATGGCTGAGTTATTAAAAACATCTGAAACATGTTCAATGCAAAGGAGAATGTGCTGCAAACACCCTTTCAGGTGTCATTACTGCCAGCATACACAGACGTTCCTCTGTCCAATCCCTCCCCACCCGGCAACATTTCAAAGGTATTTCCTGTAAGGTACACAATCCATCCCTGGCCGTTTTCTGCAATGCTTTCCTCTCCCTTGGGCATGGGTCCACCCAGCTCACAGAGGTTTAGGTGATGAGATACTGTCACCACATGGGTCTGCGTGGGACTTTCTTAGTGAATTACTCAGGCAGAGCAAGCTGTGATACAAGCCTTGCTCACCAGCCTCGGGAGGAAAAATATAGCACAGAGGATGAGAAGAATGTTCTCAGAGTGCAGGTAATGACAGGCTGGCAAAGCAGCACCTCGGCTTTGGAGGTGCGAGCGCAGGAACGCCGTGCACACCTGTGCAGCCTAACCCTCTACCTGCTCACGAAGCATGATGGGAAGGCTTCCATGTTGGGGTTTTCCAGCACAAGATATTCCAGTCAAATCACCTGAAATTGGTTAGAAATGGACCTTAAACATCTGAGCTCTAGGCAGTCTTCTTTCATTTTCCCAAATCGTCCTGCCTAGAGACTTGACAGCCTGAAGTGTCACTGCAGTGCAGCAGTCACTCCCAGGTAATGTGGAGACATGGGAGCTAGGATAAATGGACTGGTTATCTCTTGCATTTTGCCACCTAGGAAATTCGAGGGTGGTAACAGATCCCTGAAACCTACAGTCCTGATCAATATTAATTCCGTGTCGGCCTCCAGCCATCTCCTCTCCCCACCCCCTTCTGCAATGAAAGCGAATGTCAAAGCAAAGGCGGCACACTGCTCAGAAGTCAGAATACAATAGAACGTGTAAAATGTACCTGCACGTAAGGTAGGCATTAGGAAGCTTGGCTCTTTCTCTTCCCCCTGTGCTCCTGAGCTTTATGGCAACAGCATTTTCATGAGATTGGACCTCGGTTTTATTTTATTTTCCTGGTAAAATTCATGCAGTATACAAATAGCAGTTCCAGAAATGGACACCAGGAGAAGGAGGCGACAGGCATGTCAATTAGTAGGGGAAAATCCAAATGTCAGAAATATGGGGGAGAGAGAAAGCACGCAGGCAGTGGATGCAGACAGGGAACAGAGTCTTTCCGTTCAGATCATGAAACGGAGGCACACGTCGGAGCCTGTGCCTCCCCGCAGTACGCTGGCTATGCCATGCCGTTAATGATCAGCCGAGACTGGCCCGAGAGTGAGTTTACGACGACTCTCTGATCCTAACATAACAGTACCTGACCGCCCGAGCCCCCTCTAATGAGCGCTCTCTTTGTACAATCCTCGCTCAGGAACACTAGATCATTTGCCTTCAAGTACAGCTGCCTGTGAAGAAGGGGTGGGGCTATCTCCTGCCTTGGAAACCTGCTCTCATGAAATGAGGGGCTGTCCTAGAGGCTGTGCGAGGGGCAGCCGGTGGCCTCCCTGGCCCTACAAGTGCAATTTGCATGTGGCTGCCAAGGGCTTCATCAGCTGGGGTTAACCTTCCTTTGCCCTCCCCCCACCCCCAGGCGTCTGATGGTCTCTGGACTTTATTCACAGTTCAATGTGTGCTGGGGGTCAGCACTGTTGTCCATGCGCCTTCACCCTCCACCCCTCCTGCCAGGAGTAGCTGGGAGCACAGCAGAGTCTCTGGGGATGAGTTACCTGCATCTCTGAGCCTCCCTTTCCGGGGGCACTGTCAGATGCTCCATTTTCACACTCTTTCCTAGAAAAACAAAACACACCCTTGTGCCCCTGGCTTCTCTCGTTTAGCAGCTACTGTCTCTGTCTTCAGAGTGACACCCTGTGCCGTTTAGGATTTCAGAAGCTGTCCTGTGTGGAAGCAGAAGGCAAAACAGCAGGTAGCTTGTTAACATTCTCTACGGGGCAGGGCGGATGTGGCCAGGCCAGGAGGGGACCCACACACTCCTCCAGGCCATCATGGAGGCTTTGGTGCCCTTTCCTCTGATCTTGCTAGGACCTGGCACCTCAGAATCTGCTGTTGGTTGCCTTCTAAGATATAAATGATTAAGCACTCTCTGCTTTCTAGAATCTTCCCCTTCAGGTTCTTAACAACAACAGAAAACGCACCATTCTCAGCAAAAGGAAAGATAGGATTCAGATTTTGGGAGAAGAAAAAAAATAGTCATGCTTCCTAGAATAAGACTGCTTCCCCTGTTAACTGCTCCCTGCTTGGTGTTCCACCTAATCATAAACCCAGTCCTATTATTCATTTCAACTCCTGCCAGAGACTGGGGTCACGGTCAGAGAAACTCCCCTCACCATCACCATCTTCCTCGCGGCCAGTGTCCTAGCAAGTTGATACAAAGATGCCCGAGAACCTCCCCTCTCCATATGCAGCCCTACTTGGCCCTTGGCTCAGGGAATTTACCACTATCATAATCACAGTGTGCAGAGTGTGTTAAATTAAGAACAGAATCTACAGTGCGCAGTGCACAGAAAAGCCTGCCTTCTGCTGCAGAGAACTTGAAACGGTGCCTAAAATTTATAGTACCGTAAACATCTCAGGGCCTCGAGTGATAAGTATGGCTGGATTTCCGTTAGCTATAGAAATCCAGGCTGGGAGATCCTCCCAGGGAGTTGCGAGTTCTAAGATGAACTTCCCGAAGATTATTCCCAGATTTGAACACGGATGCATGTACGGTGGACCGTGCGTGTTTGTGGAAAAGAGGGCTGTGTTTCTGTATACCACCGAGTGGTAAAAATGGGAGCCAGGGACTATTTGATGAATCAGAATGAATATCTGATTAATAAACAATGACGGTCTGTTCACCTGCTTCGTACAACAAATGCTGTCATTAATAAAGGTGCAGGCGCTTATGAAAGAGGAGATCAATTACTTTCTAATTTTAGAGTTGGGCTGTCACCGTGTGGCCACTCAATCCGACTGCCAGGAAAATGCAGGGATTTCTTCACGTTAGCAGCAGTTGCTGTCTGAAAAATGTTCTTGATGCTCATGAAGCTACATTCTGAAGAGAGAGAGGCAGAAGTGGAGAGGACTGTGGATACAAAGTGACTCTTAAGTAACGCCTCCATTTATTAAGACGGAGTCAAGTAATTGCCTGCTTTCTGCCAAACACTAGCATATGACTACTGTCATGTGAACCTAGACCTCGGGTGTCCTAAACGAGACCCCCAGGTGGGCAGCCATGGATGAGATGTGAGGGAAGGCTTCTAGGGGAAGTGCCGTTCAACCTTTAGGTGAAACATGATTAAACTTAGCCACTGAGGGTGGCGTGTTGGGTGTGGGGTGGAGTGTTCTGGGTAGAAGGGGCAGCAGGTGTCACGCCTGCAGCTGAAGCAAACGGGAGATTCTCAAGACCTCGAGGAAACACCGTGTTGGTGAGCCACCGAGGACAGGGCACTGGGCAAGAGCTGGTGTTGAAGGCAGGGACGGCGCATGTAGAGCCCAAAGTCTGGGGAAGTTTCTGTGGATGCCGAGAGCACTAGGAAGTCAGGAGAGGACTTTAAAGAGGGAGTGGCATGATCAGATTCACCTTTGCGGAGGATTCCCATAGCCGCTTCATGGAGCAATGACTGGAGAGAGCTCACGGAGGCTAAGTAAAGAAAAGGCTGGGTCAGGAAGCCAAGAGAGAGATGACAAGGTCGTGGAGCCCTACAGGGACCAGAGGTGCTGAGGCTTAGTGACTACCTGCCCAGGGCTGCCCAGGGGGCTAGACTTTCAGTGTGAGATTCGTGTTTCCATAGAGACTAGTTACTAGAACTTACAGTGTTTTCGCTTCCGTTATCCCATTTGATCCTCCCGAGGTCCGGTGTCATTATGTCGGGTCCACTTCATAGAAGGTGGAACTGAGATAAGGCCCTCAGTGAACAACGCAGACCCTCCCCAGACCCCGTTCATTCCAGAGCAAGGGCCCACAAACGTTTCTCCGTGAAGGGCCAGAGAGGAGCTATCTGCGGTTTTGTGAGCCCGTCTGTCACTGCAGCAGCATAGGAAGACCTGGAGACAGCTGTGTCCAGGAGAACTGAGCCTATGGGTTTAAGCTTCGTCTGATTTTCACTCTCACAGAGTATTGTTCTTTTCCCACCATCGGAAGGTCCTCAGCTTGCAGATCTGGCCCGTGGGCTGTCACTGCTGACCCCTGTTGGAGGTGACCTGTAAGGATGACTCATGCACGCCTGGCCTTCGTGAGCAGACGTTGTCACCTGCACTAACCAGTGTCCCCGTTTTCTCTTGTGCTATGTTTTGTCTCCAGGCACAGCCAGGAAGACGCTGCACTTTGAGATTTCCAAGGAGGGCAGTGACCTGTCGGTGGTGGAGCGGGCAGAAGTGTGGCTCTTCCTCAAAGTCCCCAAGGCCAACCGGACCAGGACCAAAGTCACCATCCGCCTCTTCCAACAGCAGAAGCACCCGCAGGGCAGTTTGGATGCCGGGGAGGAGGCCGAGGAAGTGGGCCTAAAGGGCGAGAGGAGTGAACTGTTGATATCGGAAAAGGTGGTGGACGCTCGCAAGAGCACCTGGCACATCTTCCCGGTGTCCAGCAGCATCCAGCGCTTGCTGGACCAGGGCAAGCGCAACCTGGACGTCCGGATTGCCTGTGAGCAGTGCCAGGAGAGCGGCGCCAGCCTGGTGCTCCTGGGCAAGAAGAAGAAGAGAGAAGAGGAGGGAGACGGGAAGAAGAAGGACGGAGGCGACGCGGAGGAGGAGAAGGAGCAGTCGCACAGACCTTTCCTCATGCTGCAGGCTCGCCAGTCCGAAGACCACCCCCACCGCCGGCGCCGGCGGGGCTTGGAGTGTGACGGCAAGGTCAACATCTGCTGTAAGAAACAGTTCTTTGTGAGTTTCAAGGACATTGGCTGGAATGACTGGATCATTGCCCCCTCTGGCTATCATGCCAACTACTGCGAGGGGGAGTGCCCCAGCCACATAGCAGGCACATCGGGGTCCTCGCTGTCCTTCCACTCGACCGTCATCAACCACTATCGCATGCGGGGCCACAGCCCCTTTGCCAACCTCAAGTCGTGCTGTGTGCCCACCAAGCTGAGACCCATGTCCATGCTGTACTATGACGATGGGCAGAACATCATCAAGAAGGACATTCAGAACATGATCGTGGAGGAGTGCGGGTGCTCCTAGACCTACTCGCCGGGGCCAGGGAGTAGAGTTGTCGTAGAAGACAGTGGCAAAGCGAAGATGTGTTTAAGGTTTCTGAGTTCACCAACCAGAGAAAGAGAAATCAAAAAAACTAAAAAACAAAACAAACAAAAAAAACCAACACAAACAGAACAAAAACGAAAACTAAAAACAAAACCTGATGAAACAGATGAAGGAAGATGTGGAAAAAATCCTTAGCCAGGGCTCAGAGGTGAAGCGGTGAAGGAGACAGGGATGGGGAGGGCAAGGGAGAAGGGTGTACCCTTCATTTCTTCCGGAACCAAACTGATGCCCTCAGTTGTTTAAGTGGGGTACTGTCCTCTCCCCTCTCTCGGTTCCTTGGTGAGCCTCCAAAGCAACTTGTCCGGTCTGCAGTAATGGGGACTAGGACAGCCCCAGTAGCATCTGGAAAGCCATGAGTTTGAAAGGGCCAGTGGCAGGCGCTTTCCCACCCAATTACCCAGGTCATAAGGTATGTCTGTGTGACACTCTCTCTGTGTATATTAGCATACACACACATGCACACACAGGCATTTCCACACACCGCATCCACCACATCCCAGTCAAAGAACAATGTTGTGCAGGTGGTCACACTTTCTTTTTCTGCACCACTTTCGCAACAAAACAAAACAAGCCAACACAAAATTGAGAACAAGAATGGGAAGAGTGAAAGATCAAGGAAAAAAGAATACCAAGTTACATTTCGTTAAGGTGCTTATGATCTTAGAACTATGCAACCTAATAGGTTTGAAACTGTTTACCTGAGAGAGAACAAAAAGAGAGACTTTTTTGTATTGGAAGTAACCTGATTAATTTTTATTTTCTTCAAGGAGAGATACTTGAAAGGAATATGTTTGTCCATATTTTTGATCCAAACATTTCTATATTTTGTAAATGTTTTTTTTTTTTTTTTGGTTTTTTTTTTTATTCATTTTGAATGACTGAACAGTCAGAAAGATAGTTTAAAATAACACTCATATTCCTCTATTTCCTTTCGTTCCTAGGAACTACTTTCCCCACATTAATCATAAAAGGTAACATTCTGACTTACCATGTTCCGGGACCTTTTGTCATGGTCATTCTTTTTCTTGCTTGATGCCATAGTTAGGAAGGCTTCTCAACAAGCCTGCAATTTCTGGCAGTGAAATGTTTAAAGTCTCTCCTTCCAGGTTCCATGGTGACACCTGGCCTTCTCCATCACATTAAGGCACTGTCCTCCCGGTTATCAATCACCGTTTCCTCCCTCTTTTCTCTTCCTCCACCTTTGCTTCTTTTGGCTTGACTAGACACAGGATCCCGGCTCTTCCAACTTTGCTTCCCATTAATTAAGATGCCGTGTTGGGGATAGGCTTCCCAGACCCAGGTTTTCTTCCCCTGCAATATTACTCTTTGCAACACTAAAATCCTACGACCCAACTCAACTCTCGGGGGGCCAAACCCACCCATCCCTTTAAAGCTCTTCCAAGGCAATCTGTGAGCTTGGAATGCCTCACTGTCTGATCTGCTCATTTGTACCTTAAAAAATAGACACATACACCAAAGACATTTGTGTGAGCCTTTAAACAGTCTGTCTGTGGTTGGTATCATTCACCATCAATGAGTCAGGGGTTGGGATTCAAGGTTGAGGAAGGCGGAGTGTGTTCAGGCTTACGGGACCTGAGAAGTTTGGGTTTTGACTCCTTATACATCCATGAAACAGGACATTTCATACCGGATGTACAGTAGTTGTACACTGTTGGATATCAAGTTCAATCAACGTCATGAAACTACATGCTTGTATGTGTATATATACATTGCTTGTGCGTATGCATACCTGTGTGTATATATACATGTATCGTACCATGTCCATACACATTTTGAGCACTTCAGGCTGTCATTTTTTAATGTTCTTAAAGCAATGAATGTTTGTGTGCAAAACACAGTATTTTTAAGAAGGATAGGCTATAGTTTTTGCTTTTACTCTGAACTAGGTGGGCACATTTCAATAAGTTGGATGGGAAAAAGCCTGGAAATTCCAGTGGATATTCAGCAAGGCCCTCTTTAAATGTACGGGGATCGAATTCTCTCCTCTTTCTTGTCCTCCCCACACCCCCCACTCCTACAAGTTATCCCCTGTGGGGAAAACAGGATGTTAATGAAAACTCTGGGCTGATTTTTTTTCCAACTTGTATTTATTATCTATTGGAATCAATCTTAAATCAGAAACATTTTCGGAAAAAAAATCTAATCTTTAGGCCAGAATAAAAGAGGCAGGTGCAATTTTTCTTTCTTTTCTTCTTCTCTCTCTTTTTTTTTAAAACGTGATTCTGCTTGTGGGAAATACTACCTGCACCAGCTGGATTAGATAATGTTCTTGTCACTAGTTAAAAGCTAAATAATTTGGGGGAAGGTGTTAAGAGAGTGGGAGTAAGGAAGAGAACAGTGAAGAGGAGGTAGGGATGAGAGCAGTAGTAAAAATCCCTAATATTTTAATTTACAACCAAAACACTTGTTGACATGTAAATTTGTATGTATTGATTTAGATGCAAAAGTAAATTAACTTTGTTTTATAAATATCAAAGTACATGCTTAAAGCAAAATTTCTATCTAATTTATTCCAGTATTTAGCTTGCCTAGGATAGCTAATAAATTATTCATTTATGTGCTTTTTAAAAATGCAGAGCCTAATTTTTACTGACTTGTCTGAAGTTAGCAACATTTTTAAAAATTGAAAAAAAATTCTAAAATTGGGAAAAATTATGTTCATCAGTATTTTGTAAAATTCTGAAGCTTTTCGCCTGACATCAGTTCATAGATTTAAGAATATGAGTGTAGGGGAAAAAATTATCGTTAAGAAACCAAAAGGTGGTTTAGCTGTCCTTGAAAAATACACTAAGTCAGTACCCTGTAACACTAGGCTGTGTAAGGCAAATTATAATCTCGCTACTGGGCAAAAGTACTCACTATGTTCTGGAAGCTTGCCCGCTCTTATGCAGGAGGTGTGACAGATACTGCGTGAGAAGCTCGAGTGGGTCTAGCCCAGATCTATCGACCTTGGATGTTATGCATGTAGGGGAGGTGAGTGTGGTAGAGTAAGGTTTACAGAGAGGAGTAGGGGCTGTATACAAAACTTTACAAATTTTCACGGGAAGCTTTGAGAGCCTTTTGAACCACTTCTTTGGTACCGGAACTAACACATACTAGCACAGAGAGCAGAAATGGTCAAGGCCTTGGAAAAAGCAGGGATTTACAAAGAGAGCTGATACCTGTGTGTAGTTCCCATTCATCTCAAATACATCTGCCATCTGCTTACGCCCTTTAAATCCTAGACCTATTGGGTGTAATGCGGGTTTAATTAGCGGCCACGTTAACCAGATATAGAGTGAAATGAAATTTCATAGGACAGTATTTTCATTGGATAGTAAATGGTTGGGTTATCACACACACACACAAAGTTTAACCTCATTTCATTAGATTTGTGAGGCCTTGAAATAAAACCGTAACTTCTTCCATCTTTACTGATATGGGAAGACACGAAGCCTTGTGAACACTCTTTTACACAGTAATATTAGGCCAAGAGAAAAAAGCTTTTAAGTTTATCATTTCAGGTTCTTTGCAAGTTTTCCCCGAAAAGAGGATGGCTCTGATTCTGGTCTCTCTCTCTCTAGTCTTTGTCTAGGGCTAATCTCTAGGTTCTTGAAAATCCACCCACACCAATTTTGGAAACCCTGAAAAGCATTCATCCTCAGATATTTTTGAAGAATAAATACTTTGTAGAACAAATTGACATTTCTTTCTCTCTCTCTCCCTTTTTTTTTTTTTTTTTTTTTTTTCAAAAAAATGAAATGAATTCCAGCACACTGAGTTGGGATTTTCTTGGCCAGGAAGACCAACCAATTTTATATTTAAGATTGATTCCACACTCCATTTTCAGGGAGAGTCCCTGCATTCTCCTCAAAGGTAGAGCAAGTAAGTCATTTTCTCCTTGTGGAATTAGACTTTTAAGAGGTGACTCTAAACAGAGAACAAATATGCCTCATTTGTACTCAAATTATCATGTTCACTTGAAAAAATGATTTCCTGCGGGACTTTTGGCAACTTCCCTTTTCAATGTAGAGAAAAACTTAGTCACCCTGAAAACCTACATAATAAATGAAACTTGTAGATGTGGGCAGAAGGTTTGGGGGTGGACATTGTATGTGTTTAAATTAAACCCTGTATCACTGAGAAGCTGTTGTATGGGTTGGAGAAAATGAATGCTTAGAAGCTGTTCACATATTCAAGAGCAGAAGCAAACCACATGTCTCAGCTATGTTATTATTTATTTTTTATGCATAAAGTGAATCATTTCTTCTGTATTAATTTCCAATGGGTTTTACCCTCTATTTAAATGCTTTGAAAAACAGTGCATTGACAATGGGTTGATATTTTTCTTTAAAAGAAAAATATAATTATGAAAGCCAAGATAATCTGAAGCCTGTTTTGTTTTAAAACTTTTTATGTTCTGTGGTTGATGTTTGTTTGTTTTTATTTTTATTGTTTTTATTTTTATTTTTATTTTTTTGCATACTACATGCAGTTCTTTAACCAATGTCTGTTTGGCTAATGTAATTAAAGTTGTTAATTTATATGAGTGCATTTCAACTATGTCAATGGTTTCTTAATATTTATTGTGTAGAAGTACTGGTAATTTTTTTTTATTTACAATATGTTTAAAGAGATAACAGTTTGATATGTTTTCATGTGTTTATAGCAGAAGTTATTTATTTCTATGGCATTCCAGCGGATATTTTGGTGTTTGCGAGGCATGCAGTCAATATTTTGTACAGTTAGTGGACAGTATTCAGCAACGCCTGATAGCTTCTTTGGCCTTATGTTAAATAAAAAGACCTGTTTGGGATGTATTTTTTAATTTTTAATTTTATGTCTTTACTTACCAATTTTCCAAGGTCAACTTTGCACACATATCTCCACATCCTTTGCTGGGGGATATTTTATTTCTACTGTAATTATCCAGAAGCAGATAAGAAACAGACTGAATACGGGAGACAGGATGGAATCTGGGGTCGGGGCTCAAGGAGAAAAAGAATATGTAGAGCCATGGCCGAGGCTTGAAATGGCTGCAAATGCTTGGACCAGCAATATTTATATTTTACTCATTTTGTTGCCTTCCCCTTTCTCCAGTTGTAGTGGCAACTACTTACAGAAATAAAAATATAATCCTTCCTTCCCTTCCTTCTCCCTTCCTTCTCTTCTTTCTTCCTCCTTTTCTTCTAGTTATTCTCTAGTATTTGTGCCCATCCCAAAACTTATATGGAGACAGTAACTTCTACAAATGCCCATTTGGACCAGGAAGGTCCCCAGTGTCACCTCGTTGCATGTACATGTCATTGTTCCAACTGTCCTGCACAGACAAGGCTATCCCTACTTTTACACATCAGTCTGAGATATGGTTCAATAACATTATTTGGAACTAAGATTCCAAACTAGGTCTATATTCAAGTATAAAGGTAATTAATTTTTTTACTCCTTTAAAATTCCATTTTTGTGTTAATTTTATATACCAAGAAAGAAAGAAGTGGACCTAGTGTTACATGTATAACTTTTAAACACAGAAGCTTTATACTCCCCAG